TTGAATCAAAACACATTTTCAGTAAAAGTACATTTGAGTCTAACAATGACGAAACATGAATTGAAAGTTTATTCTAAGAAGTGGATGCAAGCTACTTAAGCAAATGACTAATAAAGTGATAAGATGAGCTCTAACTGAGATGAAAGCTACATGATACAACGGAGTACAATCAGAGACGGAACTACATAGGGGTCAGAGGCAGTTGACCCCCCAACCCCTAAAATATAAAATTTTTTAGTGTAAAAAATAATAAAATTATATATATTTTTTTATTATTATTTTGCCCTCCCTATTTTTAAATTTTTTTTATGTTATAGTGTAAAAAATAATAAAATTTTTGTAGTTTTGATTACATTTTTAGGTTTTAATTTTCTTAGTAGAAATTGTTGAATTTTATTAAATTTTCTTAAATATTTCTCTAAAAATTTAAAATTTTAGCTATTTTTTCTGTTTTTCTTGTTTATCCGATTGCATTAGGAGAAATCGAAAAAAAAAACAATATTAAATTAAAAAAAATGAATTCATATTTTGCCCCCTATAAATTTTAGGATTGGTTCCGTCACTGAGTACAATAACAATGCATGAGATGGGCTAATTGTAGTTTCTGGCCAAATAGTGGAATGATTATGAATTGTTTGGTGTCAAGTGCACAAATATACAAGTATAAGTGATTATAGATCAAAACATGACTATTTTGTATGTCATCAAGGAAAGAGTATAAGTGCAAAATTATGTTACTAAAGAAGATGTGGAAAATTGGAAATGACTAGAAGAGGAAGATATAGCTTATGTTTACACAACACACTTTCACTCATTTAATACTATTTATTTTTGAAAAAATATCACATCAAATACATTTTTTCTCTAAAAAATATCAAATTAAAATATTAACTTTTTACTTTTTTCCAAACTTCCAAATTTCCAAAAACCTTCAAAATTCTCTATCTAAACAAAGTTTATAACCCGTCCAATATCATTTGGTATTATATTTTTCTAACATGTAATTTAAGTAATATGTATACTTTATTAATAGTTGATACAAAATAATGGGTAAATTTTATTTACACCCTTGTGAATGTGTGTTTTAATTGAAGTGTAGAAAATAGTATATTTGTATAATAATAATAGAAAGGTACAGATAATTTTATGATGATGTGTCTATCTATTGTTATGAAACAAATGAATTTTGATGAACCAAAGTAATAAAATGGGATGATAGAGATGGGATGGAAGTAATATGATTTTAAGAGACAATCAAGTCAATTAAAAAAAATGGACTAGGTTAATAGCTTACTCAGTGACCTGGTTTTTAGATTTTAGGTTATTAGATCAACCTAAAATATAACATAATTCAACTTGTTTAATATTTGTTACATGTTAAAAAAAAAAAATAGGAAATCCAAAATATGAACCAAATTTTAAAAAAATTTAGGTTGAACAGATTTTTATTTTCAATTGGATTCTAGATAACATAATACAAAAAATTTCAAAGATTTTGCCCGTCATGAGTTTTTTTCTGTTTTGTCTCAGGATAAAGCTATATACCAATTGATGTATATTCGATTTTATTTGTAAATATTTGACGTTGTAGGAAGCAGTTGTAGCTACTACCAAGATAAATTTTTGACATACAAATTTAAAGCTTTTTTCCTTTTTCGGTGATTAGTACGACCATATAATTTAGAGTTATCGAATAACTTTTGTGAAACATATTAGAAAAGTTTTTAAGATTTAGCCCATGAATAATTTTTTTTTTTTAAAAAAAAATTAACTATTTTGCCTCACCATAATGCTATGTATATCAGTTAAGAGAGGAACACTATTTGGTCTTTCATTAAGCAAGGAGCAAAAATGAAAACTGAGTTAGTAAAGATGGGGAAAATTGAAAATGGCTAGAAGAGAAGGTCTATTGTGTTAGAATTTCAAGAGACAATGAATCAATTTGAATTTGGATAGTTTACGGGTTATTCAATGATATAGTTTTACATTTCATGTTATTTGATCAACTTGAAATACAACATGATCAAACTTGTTTTTATATCTATTTCATGTTCAACACAGTCCGATTTTTAAAAAGTCTTAACCATTTGAAATCAAACCTGAAAATTTCAGGTTGAATAGTGTCATCGGATTGATTTTGAATTTACACCCCGGCACAAGAAGAATGTAAGAATGTTTGAAAACTATTATATTTGCTCAATCTATTTGAATAATAATGTTTTAAACATTTTATCGAATTGAACTCATTATGAAAAAGAGAAAAGATGTCATGAATAGTCAATTTTGTTTTTTTTTTTTTTTTTTTTTTTATATTTGTATTGTAAAAACTGTTCTTTTACAAACATAATATATGACACAATAAGGTACTCCTTCCATCTAAGAAAAGTAGGAAAAATTGTAATAAATATCTAGTATTTATGATCAATTGTCACTCTTGTCTTTTAATTATTACTCTCGCAAAATATATATCACATGTGTCACTTTTTTGTTATTTCCCTCTTCTGGTTGCGCGTCAACTTTACGACGGGTACAATTTCACGCGCACAAAGTGGGATTGTATTATGGAGGATGAAAATCATGAAAATGTGACCGAGATATATTTTGGCAGAGTGACAATTAAAAGTTAAGATTGATAACGGCTCATTTTTGGAACTACAACAAAATTATTAAAAAACTTAAATTCGTTTTTATACTCGGAATTTGAAAAAATTCGCATGATTCATCTGACATGACTAAACAAACCTACAACGATATTGTTTTATTCATCAAAGGCCAAAGGCCATTTAGGGCCCCAAAAGTCCTAAACACTAAAAAAACGTACACCTATTTTTAAACTCAAAATTATGCGAAACTTGCACAGTTAATTTGAAACGACCAAACTAATTAACTAACGATATTATTTTGTCCATTCAAGATCATTTAGGGATCCAAACACCCCAAATGCTAAAAAATGTACTCCCATTTTTAGACTCATGCAAAATTACACAAATCTCGCACGGTTAATCCAAAATGACTAAATAAACCAACCAATGATATTATTTTGCTCATCCGAAGTCATGTAGGACCCTAGAAAACGTAAGCGCTAAAAAAATTTAAAACTATTTTTAAACTTGGAATTTGAGAAAATTCGCATGTTTCATCTGAATCCACCAGCGATATTGTTTTAGTCCATCCGAGTTCTTTTAGGGCACTAAACCCCTAGACGCAAAAAGAAATATATAAATCTATTTTTAGAATCTAAATTAAACAAAAATTGCATGGCATATCTAAAATGACCAAATAAAATGTAAACTCATTTTTACACTCGCAATTAAGCGAAACTTGTACAGTTCATCCGAAACAACCAAACAGTTTCAATAATATTTGTTTGTTAATCCGATGTCATTTTGGGCCTTAAAAATCCTAAAGACTATATAAAAATTCGCATGATTCATCCGAAATGAGTATAAGAACCAACAAGAGAAATTTTTTGTTAGTTTGAAGTTGTTCGGAACTTCAGAGCCCAAAAGAACCAAAATGCTAAACAAACATAAACTAATCTTTAGACTCGAAATTGGATAATTATTAGTCTTGTTTTTTTGGCAAAATATATTTCATAAGTGTCACTTTTTTCACGATTTTTGTCCACTAGCCGCACGTCAAGTTCATGAAAATGTCCGGTGGGAGTGGGATTGTGCTCTGATGGATTTGTAGGATATATTACTGATATTAAACTAAATAATATTTTGATATTTTTTTATATTATTGTACTACTATTTTAAGATAAAATTGGAACTTTGGTAACGTTAGTAATTTAATTTTTGTAATAATTTAATTGAAATGTTTTACTAATTATATTATAAGTGCATAGAGGTGGTAATATCGGGCCCGCCCGATTTTACTAAATATAGGAATTGAAACCATAACATATCAATAATAACACAAGACTACAACCATTAGACTATACTTCAATTTTTAATATATATTTATAAAATTATTTATTTTAGATATATTTAAATTATAATACCAGACCGGGCCCGGCCGATCATGGTTCCAGACACTATCCGTTTTATTATCGTTCAGGGCCGTCATAGCCCGGTTTATTTTCGAACCTATTTTTTTCAAGCATGATTTTTATACCGGATTCGGATCGAATTTTCGAGTCGTGCCTATTTTTGCCAACTCTATAATTGCTTATGCTAAAACATAAAGCTAGCTAGTACAGTGCATATATATACTAAAATGGTCAAGCGAGTACATATTGATGGACGAGTATAACACTGCAATTTTTTAATAACATAACACAAATGTTTTCCAAGATTTCACTTGAAATTTAAGCTTTTTGGTAACAAACATTTTGTCTTTTAATAAAGTCATATATCAATTGATCGTATTCTCGATTTTCTTTAAGAATATTTAATGTTGGAGGAGGTCGTTTCAACTACTACCAATATAATTATTGACACATAAATTAGAAGTTATTGAACTATAACTTTTCAATAGCTTACCACAAAAGTTCACCCGATATTGCCCATTAATAAATCTTTTTGTAACTGACTATTTTGTCGCACCGTATATCCGTATAATTGACCTATCCTTTTTAGTCATGTGGCAGCATCGTCCAACTTTATTTATGTTCTTCCAAAAACAATAAACATTTAAACTTTTTAGTTAGGCAGGTGCAATGTAAGTAATTAAGATATCAAACTATTAATTTATGACGTATCTGTATAATAGATGCAGCATGAAGTGTTTTTTTTTTTCTCTCTCTCTCTATAAATAGGACAACTCCTTGCGGACTTAAAACACAGAAATTGAAAGCTTTGATTTTGGCAATGGTTATGGAAGCTCTCTTCCAAGCTCTCTATCATCTTTGTAAGTAATTTATTTTTTATTTTTCAGTTCAGATTTTTCCATTTAATGTACATTGCTTAGTTATCTTGAACAGGAATCATCAAATACAAAAGAGTGTCTTTTCTGGGAAATAAGAAAAGCTTTGTGGGGTAGTTCTGAAGATTTCAATGGCGTCGAACATGGTGATGCTATACAGAGATGACGGCAAAGGAAAACACTGCAACCCTCATGTGTTCTTCTTCTCCAAGAATGCATCCGAAAATAATGGTGCCTATCGCATAGATCACAACTTTTCTGCCACAACTTGCAACGAATCAACATCTCCCTCTTCTTCTTCAAAAGTGTTTGATAAAATCCTCCATCTTGATTAGTAAGTGTTACCCAACAAACTCTCCAATATGTATCTATTAAATTATTTCAGCGTTTCCTCTAATGTCAATGCTTAAAAAGGGCTCAGAATCACTAACTCTTGTATGCAGTGCAAATCCCACAATGTTCAAGGATCATCAGCAACAAATGAGGGATAAAATCACATTGGTAATCCATGGATGGAAAGCAATGAGCTATTTCTCTTATCCAAGACTTCTCTATTGGTTTCTGGAGCTTGTGGGGAATGCCATCACTGAGAATTGTTCTCTAGCAGTCGAAACAAGCTCTAGTCAGATCCTTCGAGTTGCGCTATGTGTGAGCTCCCCATCAAATGCTTTGAAGCCAATGGATGTCGTATCTGCAGCTCCATTTACGTACTCAGTGAGTCACCAACAAAATAAATTAAAGATAAGTAAAATTAGGGTTTTTGAAGAGATCTGTAATGGGAGATTAAATAATTTTCCTGCAGGGGTCTCCAGGAACAACTGATGTCCTCAAGTCTGGACTTCAAAAATGGGCGGGCGATGCGAACACCTACACGAGTGATCGGGACCAATACATCGAGGTTATTACATCCCCGAATAATCCTGATGGATTCATAAGGGAAGCTGTGGTAAAACCTCAAAGCAGTCCAGGAACCCTAATTCACAACCTCTCGCGATATCATGCCGTTTTCGGGTTTGTGCATTTGGTATAAGTATAAACATTTCAATATTCCATAGCTATATCTTAAATTAATCTGTTTAATTCAATTATTGGTTTTATAATTTTTTGTGTTGTACTTTGTAGTTGGCTTCTTGTTAAGGATTGCGAGATTGCATCAACGAAAATCACTCAATTCGCTATGCTTAGCGCTACTGGTGTGTCGAAAAGTGTAGCATCTCCGAGCAAAATTGACTTTTGATGCAGTGTGGAAGATCATAATCACAGACTAGAATGCACCAAAAGAGATTACGGCTCTACAGAGGTTTATGGAGATTTAGAAAGTTTGAAAATTGTAAAAACTTGAGTATTTGCACTACAAAAAAAAATTAGTATATTTGTAACGGAATTCCGTTCCTAAAGTTCACGTAGCTAACGTAATTTCATCTCTAATTCCGTCTCTAATATCATTAGTAACAGAAAAAATGAATTTAGTAACGAAAAAATCTCGTTACAAAATTGATAATTTCTTTGGAGTGTTGATTTGATATTTTGTGGGTAATATAGTTATTTGATGTAATTTTTTTTTTTTTAAAAAAAATACTTATGATAAATGGTGTCAAAATATTAAAGAAAAAAAATGTATATACAGAAACTCTGTATCAAATGGGTTGATTTTGATATATATATATATATGTATGTTTTTTAACTCCATTATTTCTGTATATTTGTAATCCCAAGTTTGGATTGAGTTGAAATTCCAATAGTAATAATTTGAATCATAATAGGTTTTTAATATCCTATGTAGGAACTTGTAGTGTGTTTGAATGAAAAATTAGAGTTTGTTTGATTGTGTACTATAACTACCATTTTTACTATGCATTTAGGCTAATTTATTTATTTTTCATAAAAATAAAAAAATCATATATATTGTCTAATATATATATAATTTATTTATAATTTAAATATATCATTAACTATCTATATATATCATATTAAACCATTTTTAATTTAAATTTTTTACAATTCCCAAAACCCATCAAAATACAACTTGGGTTGGGATTAAAAAGAGTTTGTTGTGTTTTGTATTTACATACTATTTAAAAAAAAAAAAAAAACCTAAAATAAAACTACAGGCTAAATAGTACTCCTTCCGGTCCCAAATACCGTGTCTGCTAGACATCGTTCTTTTAGGAGAGGTGTAATTAGTAGATAATTAAGAATGTATCAGTGAAAATAATTATCCTCTAATATAAATAATTATAAATTAAGATTAACTAATTAGTTTAAAATTAAAAAAAAATAAAATTTAAAAATTTAAAATAGATTAAAGTGTGTAATCATTTTCCAAAAAAGAAAAGTGACATGGTACGTGGGACGGACAGAAACGACAACGTGGACATGGTATTTGGGACGGAGAGAGTAACAACCTAAAAAAAAAAATGAATACTACAGGCTAAAAAAAAAAAAAACACTCATAGATGTGAATCAAAGTTCAAACCATTTAAGATTTTGAATTACCATTATAATCTCTCTCTTGTTTTAATTACAATGTAGAAGAACATATAATACATTGTTCAAACCACAACCTCATCTCTGCTGGCCAAAAAAAAATAGAGGGATCCACCCCAAAAGGCCCACAAAAGACCAACCAACCAAGCCACCAATGAACTTGTCATACATGCCAAAATGAGTTTGTATCTAGAAATCAAGCCCAAACAAATCCTAATCCAAAAAGGGATGGGTTCCAATTATCGTTTAGAGAAAAAAAAACCTTAACTAATATTCACAATACTTGGCTTGCTCAAACGGTTCAAACCGTCTGATTACGATTACAAACTGCCGGTTACGGTTTGCCAAAATTTCAAACTGAAACTGAACCGTCCAAATGACGGTTTCGGTTACGGTTTGACGGTTTTGATTTCAGTTTATAAACTGACGGTTTCGGTTTAAAAACCGCCGGTTACGGTTTGAACCGCCTTTATATACTTCTTTTTCCGATTTTTTCTTAATATAAATTTTTACAATTAATTTTGATTCTATTTTAATTTACTAATCTTTTTATTTTTGTGAAAAACTATATAAATCTCATTAAATCTCATCTGTTTATTTACTATGACGTACATTAAATCTCCACCATTCATTTCAAAATTTTAAATTTTTTTTTAAAAAAAAAAACTGACCAAACCGGCGGTTTAAATCTCTACAGTTCATTTCAAAATTTTAAATTTAAAAAAAGAAAAAAAAAACCTGACCAAACCGGCCGCCGGTTTGTTCTATCAAATCTCAACCGTCAGATCTGCATGAATTAATCTTGACCGTTCGTTTTCAAAAACTAAATCCGCCCAAACTGGCGGTTTCGGTTTGAATTTTATCCCGCCGGTTTGGGCTGACATACTTTTTAAAAATAAATAAATAAAAAAATATATATATATTGTCCAAACTGTCGATTCAAACCGTAAATCGGCGATTCACGGTTTGGCTCAAACACAAATCGAAACCGAACCGTCCGATTCACGGTTTAGTTTGATTTGAGCCCGGTTTCGGTTCCAACGGAAACCGCCGGTTCGTAAACCAGAAAACCGGCGGTTCCGAACCGTTTGGGCAAGTCTGACAATACCTACACTAATACTTGCACTGTACATGCTTAAATAAAAGGAAAAAACTAGTCGATACCATGCAAGGTGATGAACGGTCGTCATGATTTTTTGCATCTCCTCGACATTCGAAACAGACTTCTCTCCAAAAAAGCAATGCGAAAATAAAATTATGGAAGCCCATAAATATTTTTGTACCTCAAAATTCTGAGAGATCAAAGAATGACTATCATCGACCCAAATTCCATGCAGATTGAGACTTCAAATCCTAGGTTGGAGAGAAAGAAATTTCAGGTACCAGAGAGATCAAGAGCGATTCAGCTGATCAACATACTGGAAGTTTGGCATTTCCAGTTTGTCAATGCCAATAATCCCATAAAGATGACCTATGACATGCTAAGTTTCAAGAGTTCGGGAAGTCTCCGTGTCGCAAGTGAGGTTAGCTAACCAGTCCGTTGCCCAGTTTCATTCTCTATATATATATGTGAAATCTTATGTTCAAGTTTAATTTTAATTTGAGTTACTAATAGCTGTAAATTCCATCCTCTGGTAGTAGTGTGAGTGTCTGTTGGGGAGATCAGGTTGATGCTTGCCTGGGAATCAGATTCCAGCCAAATAGGAAAAAGTTGATGTTCCCTAGCAATCTCAATGTCCCGGAGAATCGCAAAAAGTTTTGTATAACTGTTGGTAGATGAGAGAAGATGTTCATGAAATCCAACCACCATGTCTCTGTTTTGGTTTCTGAATTATTTCTGTATATTTGTAATTCCAGGTTGGGATTGGAGTTGCTATTCATGAAGAAATAGTAAAAGTTTGAATCAAAATGGGATATACATTAGTATTGAATGTGGTATTTTGATTAAAAATTTAGAGTTTGTTTGATTGTGTATTACAGCCACCATTTTTACTATATATTTACGTAATTTATATTTTCCCATAAAATATGATACCATATACTGCCTCCGTAGGTCACTTGAAGTTTTATAGGAAATTAAAAAATAATAAAATTTTATTGATTAGACATTTTTGTCTTTGACTTTATATAAATTAATTATATGTGTAATTGTATATTTCTAATTTAGATAAAATTAAGAATATGCTAGTATTAATGTATGATTATTTTTAATAAAATAAAAAATAGATACTTTGAAGTAGGACGAAAGGAAAATGGTAAAAATGATATTATATTATCTAATATATTATACATAAAATTTATTTTTAATTTAAAATATAACATCAATTATCGGTTTAGATCATATCTAATAATTTCAATACTATTTCCAATCAAAACAAAACCAAACAAGCCCTTAGATTATATTTAATGTAATAATAATAATAATAATAATAATAATGATGATGATGATGAACACTACGTACTAAAATTTACAAACAAACGACTTGTAGAGGAATCAATGAAATAACCTCTTTATTTCTTGTTTATATGGTTGATATTGTATTTTTTAAAATAATTTTGAATCAAACTTCAAACATTTTATTTGAATCATCACTGTTATTAAGAATTTGTTTCTCCTTAGGATCAATGACCCGAATTCTTCCTGGAACTAAATAATACTCAGAATATTAGTAGGTTAGTACCAATAATCACAATAACAATAAACATAAATTAAGAAAAACAGTGCTATAATATAACGAAATATCTGAAATAATTTGGTAGGCTCAGATCACAACCCACTCCGTGCAAACTCCAAGCATTCTAACGAGGCAACACCACAAAATGAGAGCAGTAAGGATTTTGACACTAAGAAACTCAAAGAAGAGAGGAGATTTGCATAAAGATAAAGAGGAACACAAAGAAGAACACAAATGATCACACAAAGCGACGGCTCTCACTCACTTCACTACTCTCTCAAACCCACTAACACCTATCGATATATACAGTCACTTCAAGATTAGGGGTAAGGCAAAGGAAAGGGTAAACAAACATACCTTATCGCGTGGATACGACCTGAGGAGAAGGAACAAATCACTCTTCCTGCATTGATTTCGGACCGGAAAGGAGAAGAAAAGAAAAGAGAATGGGTCTTCAATCGTGATTGAGTGACTATATAAACATCTGGCCTAAAATGGGTTTGTTTCTATGGATCCAAGTCAGGTCATGTGGGTTTGAGTTTGGGTCAGTTAGAAACAAAAAAACAACAACTATAATGTTTTTCTATATATTAATTACAAAATCATCTTAATATTATTTCTTTTTCTCCCTAAAATAATAAACTTTGCAAACAATAATATATAGAACATATAAGAATAATCATACTCTTGCTCACACAACACCACAATATATAATATCGACAAGGTATAAGAACATACAATACATTATTAATATATTAACATAAATATATCTTTTAATTGTTTTTGTCAATGAAATTTGACTTCCAAACGATCGAAATGCATTAGGCTCATCGCAAAGCTGAAAATTAAGATTTTTCGACTGACTCAAGAAAACGTTTTTGGGCTGGTCTTTGTGTAACATCCAATCACTAAGAAGCTTATGCCTATACATATGCTTTTATTGTTTTTCTACACAATACTTTCAAGTCTTCCCTTTCGTCTAAATTGGGATTTCTTTTTTACTTTTGGTTTGAAAGAATATTTTCTTCGTATGAGATATAAGAAATAGTATAGGTAATATAAAAATAATAAGTGTTTATATTAAATATTTTTGAAAAGATGTCACTACAAGAAAAAAATTGTTTTTATAGCAAAACATATTTGTCTATAAATCTATTTTTTTCGTTATTTATGACATTAGATACGGAATTAAAAATGAAATTACGTTAGCTACGTGAACTTTATGAACATAATTTCGTTACAAATATATTATTTTTTTGTAGTGTGTGTTAAAAAATTTTAGGTAAAAGAGCAGAGTTCTTCCTTCGGGCTTTGTTCATATTCTCTTATTTACTAGTTTTAGACACATTTCACAACATAAGCTCTTCAAAAAGTCTTCCACAACAAGTCCAATCGAAAAATGGACTTCTTGACCTGAAAATAAATGTAAGCTTCTCTTGGACTGAACTATTCTATTAGAATTCTCTTAATGTTTGTTTGACTGAAAGTAAGTAGAAATGCGAGATTTAGTGAATATGAACACATCATAGCGTGATCAAAAATAATGTTGGACTAAAAATTTAATTATAGATTAAATCTAATTATTTGGGCTATCAGTGTGATACCCCCGGTGTTGGGTCATTGCTTGGTCAACTCTCGTGTGTGAAGATATTAGGTCATCCAAAATTGATTAGAGGTTAAATATATTTAATAGGCTACTAATGTCAACAATTTGCACATTTTTTTGACCCCTTCTGAAAGAACTCTAAAATTAAGCATGTTTGCTCTAGAGTAACTTGAGAATCGGTACTCTTGGGAAAAGTCTTCCAGGATGCGCATGAGTGAGAACAGAAGCGCGCTTGAAGGACTCGTATTGACTTGTAGGGCTAATCTACGATTCTAATATGCTCAGTTTCGCGTGGCTTGCGGGCCAGGGTGTCACAATCGGTATCAGAGCCGACATGTGACAGCCCGCAGTTGTTGACCAGACTGTTAACGGGATTAGCGGTTGACGATCCTTGTGTGCAACATGGACATTGCATTCTAAAGTACTGGGGGAGAATGTGATACCCCGGAGTTGGGTCGTTGCTTGGTTAACTCTCGTGTGTGGATGAGCCCGAAGTTGATTAGAAGTTAAACAGATTTAATAGACTATTCATGTTAACAATGTGCACATTCCTGTTTCGGGGCCCTACTGAAAGAACTCTGGAGTTAAGCACCCTGGGAAGTTTCTCAAGGTGCGCGTGAGTAAAGACAGAAGCACGCTGGAAGGACTCGTGTTGACTTGTAAGGTCAATTTACTATCCCGACATGCTCGGCTTCGTGTGGCCTGCGGGCTAGGGTGTCACAATTAGTCAGAGACTATATTAAGTAATCTATTAAATTTATTGGTCTTAGATATATTTAGTAATTGCAGACCTCGTATTTGCATAAACATGTTAAATTATTAATTGGGGTATTAGACTAATTAATAATAAGGAATATATATTAAAGTTATGATCTAAGCGCAACATCCATTGCTAAATGTATTTTTATAAAAACTAAAATTTTATATAGTACAAATAAATAAATAAATTTTATATTTATATATAATTAACATAATTTAGTTTATAACATATATGAAAAAAAAAATCAATATGTATAAATATATTTATTTATTTAAAAGAGTGATAGAAAGAAAATTAAAAATATTTTGATTAAATATATATATATATATGTGTATAATGGCAGCATATGCTCCAACTTGGGAACAAAAGAGTCCTTAAAAGTATTTTGAAATTTGTACAAATGGACAAAATTTTCATTCACGGTGACAGTCTATTGCTTGTGTCATGGAATATTGACATATATGATCACTATATATATATATATATATATATAATATAAATTGAATACATCATGTGAGAAAAATTTAACAGTTGTTCTAAGTTGTAATTAAGGTTTTGTTTACACAATAACTTTGAGCATTTGGGCATTATTTAATTTTTTTAAAAAATATTACATTAAATATGGGTTTTTTTGTCACAACAAAATGCTACTTTTTACTATTTTTAAATTTCTAAAACTCTAAAACTTTTAAAAATCTTTTATCTAAAGGGAGGTTAAAATTTTCAAATTAATAAGGTTTATTATTTAAACTATTTTTTATTATTATTATTTTATTTTTTTTGTGTGTTTTCCGTCCCATATACATTTGAATATTTTTTTTCAATTCTTTGATTCTCATGAATTCACACAAAAATGTATATATTCTTCGTCCTATTTGAAATAATCTCTTTGGGGTTTTATACTAGATTGAAAAATAATATTATTTTATTTATTAGTGAAAGTGTGTAAAAGAATTTAACATTTTTGTCCTAATGAAAAATAATTGTATGTGTAATAATATATTTATAATTAAAACAAAAGTTAAAAATATTTTGATATTAGTGTATGATTATTTTTACTAAAAAGCGAGATAGAATAAAATGATAAAAAAATATATATATTTTTTGAATTCAGACAAAATCAGTATTATTTTACGAGGTAAATGACCAAAATATAATAGATGAAGTTAATATAGAGGACAAATGTGATAATTCACCACAAATATATTACTAAATTTACATTTCATGTGTATATATATATACATATTTCTAGTGAATTAATCTCGATTATATTTGAATGTTTAGTTGAATACGACACCTCTTAAAAAGTATTTTTATTCGATATACACGTATATGTTGGATTATCCTTTTCTATAGTGTGATCTAAGAGCCTAATGAATAGAATGTACATTACAATTCAGCATAGTAATAAAAATTTTGATTTGACAATACTTTCAGACGTAGATCAGTTTGATTTGATTCAGTAACTAAATTTTTTGTCTCTTTTCGTTATTTTGCTTCTATATTGTGTCATTTATTATAACAATGAATCAAAAGCTAATGTCATAAACTAGTTTGAAATAAATATTGAGTAATTTTTCAACATGAAAAGATAGAATTATTATTTTGAATCAAATTCAAATATATGCATCTACGTTATGTCTTACAATAATAAATTGCATGTCTCATCTATAATCAACATGTAGTACAAATATGTGTATAGTGTGCGTTTACTTTTTGAAGAATTAATGAAATTATATTAATTAGTTATGATATAAGAGATTATTTTATCCAACATATATAAGATAGGATTAGATAATCATAAAAATAGTATATTAATCATCAATTTAGAATATAAAAAAATTTAATCATTCGAAATAAACATATAATTAGAATGTATAAAATAATATTATTCATATAAATTAATCACTCGTAATGTTAAGACAAAACATATATTGCGTCATGGAATATAAACAATAATTGATGCATATTCAATTATCGATGTAAATACATCGTGCAAGAATTCAATGGCATATGAAGTTTGATCACATATATAGATGATAAGCTTGAGCTATTCTCGTTCTTAAATTTCATACTCCGAATAAGTTTGAGAAAGATTTCCTCAATAGTGTGATAATGAATTGTTCTTGGACTCCTATGAATTTTTCCATCGATAATTTTTCAAATAAATGTTTGTGTTCTTTATTCATTTGATCAAGTTTACACATTTTATAAGTATATATACTTTTGGTTTAAAACTTTCTATCGAAATTTTATGATTAATACGATGGATCATGCGCAAATTAATTATCGCTATTCTTCAAAATAATCCCGTCCAATTTGTCTATTCTCCAATAATAACATACGGGACTCGAAATACATGTAACACTTGTCTTCAAACATAATCATATATCGCAAAATTAGCCTATTTGATATAATCTCTCCCTCAAAAGACAAAATTCTTGGTCTCTACTTATCATTCCCATTCTTGTATATTTGTTGCTCACTCCAAAATTATTTCCGCCTCTAGTCAATATTTTATGGCTCTCGAGAAAGGCTTTGCAATCATCGATCTCTCCTTCACACTTTAGCCAGGCGAATGCTGCAATCCATCACAAAGAAACAATGATTTATTCGAAATTAATTAGTCTAAATATTTTAGTTGAATTCGAGTAAGAAGAAGCATTACTAATTGTGTTCTTTAAGAGTCTAATTTTTTTTTTTAAAAAATAGTAAAGAACTTAGCTCGACCACTTGAGCTACAATCACTTCACTTGTAATTTGAATATAATGTTTCGTAAGGAGAATTTCTATATTTTTTTTGTAGGGAATTGTGAGAGTCGCATAGTAAAAATACTGAAACTAAACTTCAAAAAAAGATAGGCTAAATGTATTGAAAATTACCAGGCTGTGGAGCAAAAGTGTGACCACTGAATTTGCATTTTTGGGGCAGATAATCAGGTAATTTGAAGAGCTTGCTGTTCTGAATCACATCCCTGAGTTGTTTCCACCTTGCAGCCATAAGTTCATAGCTATGTTCGAAGAACGGCGGGGCTGCGCTGACTTGCTCGTGACTACTAGCCACCGCGTCTAAAATCAATTTTGCGCGGAGCTGCGACTCTTTCGACACGCCTATAGTGCTAATCGTCACAAATTCAACCATTTTCGACGCAATTGTGCGATCCTTAACAATAGCCCACCTACAAAGTACAAACACACCAATATAAAACACTAGAAATATAGAAATGTTACTCGGAAAACTATATAATTTATAACTAATAATATAGTTTCTATCAACTTAAGTTTTTAGGTTAAATAATTATTTAACATGTATCATATTAAAAAAAAAAAAAAAAAAGTTATACCCGATTACTCAGAACACTATATAATATAATTAATAATATAGTTTCTATTTAAAGTGGTCAGGTTATATAATTATTTAACACGTATCAGATTAAAAAAAAAAAGTTATACCCGATGCGAGTGCCGGCGTGGCCGGTGCATTTGGAGACGGTAAACAGCATAATGTCGTGATCGGCCGGCGAAGTGATCGGAGTGTACTGTGGCCAGTAATAGGCAAGGTCATGAACTAGGGTTCTTCGACAGTTTTTAGGTTTCACCACAGCCTCCCTTAAAAATCCATCGGGATTATTCGGAGATGTAATAACCTCGATGTATTTGGTCTGATCATTCGTGTAGCTAGTCGCATCTCCAGCCCACTTGTGAAGGCCCGACTTGACAAAATCTGCTGTGGCTGGATACCCCTGCAGGAAAATTATCATATCTTCCATTAAAGATCTCTTGGAAAACCCTAACTTTACAAATCTTTAATTTATCTTTTAAGTGACTCACTGAGTAGAATGGAGCTGCGGCCACGACATCGACCGGAGTCAAAGATTCCGGCGAGGCGATCGCATACAATGCAGCCTGGAAGAGCTGTGTGGAGCCTGTTCCGACAACGAGATAGCGATTATCAGTGATGGCGTTCCCGACGAGTTTGTGCAATCTGATTACTGATTTCTCGAATTCAGGCTCGAGAAACCAGTAGAAGTCTCTTGAATCTGAGAAATAGCTCATCGATTGGGATCCAGGGATTGTCAGAGTGGTTTTATCTGCCACGTTTTGCCAGTATTTCTCGAACATTGTCGGATCGCCGCTGCGTCGAAGATGAATAATTGTGAAGCTTTTTTAATGGTGAAATTAATGGAGATTAGGGATTTTTTTGAGGAAAACTTACTAATCGAGATGGAGGATTCGATCGAACACATTTGAGGAAGAAGAGAGTGAAGTCGACGCGTTGCAAGTCTGGATTGAAAAGCTGTGATTTTTGTTCGAAGATTTGGGGAAGAACAGATTAGGGTTGCAGTAGTTTCTGAAGAGTGTCCCAACGTTGAGTGCCAACGAAATCAGCAAGAAGTGCACCAATATCGCGCTTCGAAACTCCATTAACGATTCTACGAAGCTTTTTTGCAGAATAAAAATCACAGAAGGAAGATTAGAGTTGAACTATGAGAAGAAGAAGAAGAAGAAGTAGTAAGGAAATGCTTGATTAATGTACTTACAGATATTGCTGACGAACTTTGGAAGAAAACTTCAATGTAGCAATGGCAGAATCAAAAGATTTTCTTTCGATGTTCTCGATTCTTCGGAGCTGTCCTATTTATAGAGAAAAATAAAATATAAATAAAAAGATTCTTCTACTGTTTAGATAATATTTCACATTAATGAGTTTGTTAATTTTGTTTTGTAACTCAAATCAATTGTTTTTTTTTTTTTTTATCAATTCATTTTTTAATAAAAATATGCTTTGTTTTCTGTTTAAATTCTTCTACAGTTCTATTTTATTATTTTTTTAATTACATTAAAAAATAATATGGTATTTTATTAGTTATTGGAAATGCTTGACAGAGTTTTTGATATTTTTTCTGATTTTATGTATAAAAAAATTGTATATGTAAAAGTATATTTGTATTTTAAGTAAAAATTAAAGATATTTTGATATTGGAGTATAATTATTTTTTTTAAAATACGAGATAGATACTTTGAATTTTGAAATTAACAGACGAAAATGGTTAAAAAAAAAAAAAGTATTTTGAATTGGGACGGAAGAAGTAATATTCTATATGTCTCATATAGGGTGATATAGTTCATTTTTGACACAAATCTAGTCCAATAGTATTAAATAGAATAATTTAAAAATTAAGTGAGGGAACAAAAGAGAAAAATATATTTCATTTTTAAAGAAATATTAAAATATGTATTTATTTATTTATTTTTTTACTCTCTCTGTCGTCTAATTTTATTATATTGAAAATGGAACAAAATTAGATAAAGGATGATATTATTTTTAAAATATTTTTTATGAAATTAGTATATTTTTATTAAACTAATCATGTTAATTTAAAATATATATTCATTATTCTTTTATTTAAAGAGGGTGATTTTTATTTAGAGATATATTATCGGAAAATGAGTGTAAAAATCAAGACTACTAAATAAAATTATCATAACTAATCTTCTATTTACTTAATGGTTGATATTATAAGAGGTACAATTAGAAAATTTAGCCTTAAATTTAATTTAATTAGCTTTAACAATTTTTATATTTCTTGTAAAAAAAATTTAACTTTGTATACCCTATAAAATTAAAATGATTACTATAAGATGCTGAAAAATAGTCATAAATACAACAATCAATTATCATAAATATATAGTAAAAAGGGATAGATCGATTATATAACACGTGGTTTTATTTTAAGACAAATTATCGGCTTAATTTGTCGTATACATCGAGTATTTAATCTCGTAATATTATTTCGTGCGTTATAGATAATTCTATAATTTTATATGTCATGAATTGTCTTTGTAATAACGATTAACGGTCTCTTGCAACACTAACGGTATGGAACAAGATTGTTTCTTTTTGGCGCCATGTCTAAGTCATGAATTTAAGTAAGAAAATATTCGAAAAGCTAAGATATTATCGAAATAGATTGATCAAATAAGTTTTCCAATATTTTTACGCTCTTTGTTTTCTTGTTGAATATAACACACACAAAGATAATAATAAAAATAAAAATAAAAAATCCTCTTTTCTCAAATATTCTAAACTTAAAATAAAATATGTCACAAATATCTACTCTATCGTTATGTTATAGATGTATTTGTTTATTTAAGCCACAATACAAATACATAAATAACCTTAGAATATAACTATTTTTAATGAAGAGAATGTTCAAAAAGTAAATAAAGAAAATTATGCAATATTTGAACAATAATATTCATTAATACAAATATATTCACTACAATAAAAATTGAAATTTAGTTATAAAAAATTTTCGAATCAAAAGGTAATAGTTTATAGCAAAAATATTTTTGCGATGAAATTCATTTCGTTCGCATATATCGCGTTACTAAAGGTTATTTGCGATAAATATGACTTTCGTAATAAAAAATAAGTCTTTTACAATAAAAATTAAGAAAAAATATATAGATACGAAAATATGATTTCGTAGCTAAATTGCTATTTTTCTATAAAATTAAAATTCCTAACAAAAGAGTTTTAACAACAAAATATGTATAAGTTTTTAAGCCAAATAATATTAGCTATGAAAAATAATTTTGTAGTTAAAACCTTTTTACTATGAAGATAGAATTTTCTAGTAAAAAAATTTTAGCAACAAAATTAATTTCATATTACATAATTTATTTTTGAGATAAAATTAATCTTTATTGCTAACCTTTTAACTACAAAAATATTTCGTAATTAAAAATATTATAGCTAATTAGATATTTTCCATTAGTGATTTTAAAATATAAAAAGTCATCCATTTTTATTTCTTCTCCTACCTACTATAAATAATTAGTGATTTTAAAATATAAAAAGTCATCCATTTTTATTTCTTCTCCTACCTACTATAAATAATTTAACTATATGTAATTAATATTCATTAATGCATATATATATTTTAAAATATAAAAAGTTCCATTTTTATTTCCTCCTATCTACCTACTCTTATAATATTAGTAAATTTACACTCATTAATTAATTTGGTTGGTATTATATTATTATTATTATTACTATTATTATTATTATTATTATTATTTATTATTTAAAATTTTTGGGGAAAAATCAATTTTGATCTAAATATTATGAAAATTTATTAATTTTGGTCCAAATATTAAAAATTTATCAATTTTAGTCTCATTATAAACAATCAATCAATTTTGGTTCCATCGTTAGAAAACTAACTGAAATTGCTGATGTGGACGTAACGGAGTTGAGGTGGCAGCTGACCTGGAAAGTACACACAACCATGTATAATTATATATGGTCATGTATATTTCAATGTACAATTATACACGGTCATGTTTAATTCTACACAGCCGTGTATTTTTCTGTTTTTGTCTAAAATATAATTTTTTTTGTTATATTTTTAAAAAAATATATATATTTTTTGAATTTAGAAGAATTGATATAGTTAAAACGAAAAAAATTAATAATAATCATAATATAATAAAAATGTATCAATTTTAACTCAAGTATAAAAATTTATAAGATATGTTTTTTTGAAAAATTTTGTCTAAAATTCTACTATTCATCAAAATTTTCCCTCTTACAAACATCCAATTACACAACTATTTTTTATTTTTTTATATTATATTAAAATTTTATTTTACATTGCAATACAATTTCAACGTAGACATATATAATTGTATTGAAATATAAAATTAATTTTTAATACTATAATATCCTAAAATTAAAAAATAAAAAAAATAAAAAATAGTAGTGTAATTGAACTTCTCCGTGTTCCCTTGCCCGAACGGATCGCATAGTGAATTGAATAACAAGCACACCGACCTATGATCAGTAAATAAATACCATCATTACATTACCCAAATCTGAATATATTTAAAAATTTATCAGAATCTATCAGGAGTACGTAACAACATATTTCGAGTACACATTAGTCCCTTAAAGTATATTACTTAGCAAACTAGACCTAAAATTGCAACTCGGGGTACCTAATAATACCATATTTTTCAACCCACAAACATGACTAATTATCGAACAATCAAACAAAAAATCTAAAATATGCAACTACGGGTAACTAAACAAAATGTACATCTACAAAATTAACAAAAAACACATATTAAACAAATAAAATCACCAAATATCGGTGCCAAAATAAAAAATCCATCCCGGTCTACGTGGGCAAATATACGAACGATTTTAAACCCGATTAACAAACACAACTACATCGATCACACAGGGCTCCTCAATACCAAACCGAGACATACAAACACACGACCAAGATTTACACCCCAAACAATCGAACAAACTACAATACAAAATACTAGTATCAATAAAATCAAAAATCAAAAAAGTCCAGCTAGGAACTTACTTCTTCGAGTTTATTCGGGGATGGGAGCGGTCAACTGTTTTCTTCAGCATTTTTGCACCAACTGGTCGCTACTTGATTGCCAAGGGCGTCGGTTCGCCTGAAGAAGAAAGAGGTAGGGTTTAAAATTGGGGTAAGAGAAGTTATAAGAAATGTTCTTCCTCAACCCCTGTTAAATCGTGGGTAACTATCTTTTTCTTTTTCTATTTATTTTTTAATTCGCGAAAAAAGTACGCGATATTTAACTAAAAGTATATAAGATTATAATTGGGGTAGAGTGGGAAGTAACGTAGGTATATATTACAATATTTGAAGTATTGATCAACTTATTTCGAGTATTTATTGCGTATACAATAATAATTGAGGGATAAATACAAATAGGAAGTCATAATATATATATATAATCTATAAAGTAGAACTGCAGACTAATTGATTTTTATTAGGGACTTAACTGTAAATGGATTTATCTGACGGGTATTTTGATCAAACTCTCTCTATAAAAAAAATCTATCAATATTATTATTATTTTATCAAAGAATTTCAATAAAATAATATACTATAAATTCAATTATCAAAATATTCAAAATGTACTGGATTTCATTTCTTTTATTTTTTGGTAGTTGAAATAATGTTTTTTTTATGTGATAGTATCTTTTAAGATAAATAATATGAATAAGTAATCAAATTAAAAATGAAACTTTAAAAAATAAAAATAATAATAACATCCAAAGATATGCAAATCTAAAATTTAAAATAGGGTTGAGATAGGCAAAAATATGAGCCATCCTTCGGTGTCCATCTCCACGACTCTACAGTATATATTAAATATAAATACATTATTCAATATAAATATTGTTTTTAAATAAAAAATTTATACTATAATTAATATAGATATATCAAAAAATAATAATAATAATATATTTGTAACGAAAATTAAATAATAGCATTAGCTATGTGAATTTTAGGGACGAAATTTAATACATTTAGTAAATTTTGCCTCTAATTTTGTCCTTAATGTCATTAATAAGAAAAAAAAAAGAATTT